ATGCTGAAGCTGAAACTCCAATACTTTGGCCACCTGATGCGAAGAAGTGACTCATTGGAAAAGACCCTGATGCTGGGAAAGTTGAAGGTGGGAGGAGAAGGGGACAACAGAGGATGAGATGGTTGGATGGCATCACTGATGTGATGGACACGAGTTTGAGTAAGCTCTGGGAGTTGGTGATGGACAGAGAGGCCTGGCATGCTGCAGTCCGTGGGGTTGCAAAGAGTCGAACATGACTGAGCAACTGAACTAAACTGAAAGGATACCTAAAGCAACTGTAGCATCTGCAAACATGCATTTTCCTAAATGGTGCGGACCAACTAGAACCAAATAATGAGCATCCCCACAGGACTTCTCAGGATGGTGACAAGGCCTGAAGTGTAGACTTTCACAGAAGAGGGGGTGGAGAAAGGAAAGGAGAGTGGGATGTTTAGTAATATCCTACAGCAAATTCCAATTCATCCAGAAACAATGAAAACCGGGGGATTAGCATAAGAATAAGATGGAATACAAGAATGATCAGTTTGCAATGCAGCAGAATGGGATAAAATAGCCCTTAATAGGAAAATGGTTTTAAATTTAATTTAATCTCACTGCCAATTTGGAAGGTGCCTCAGGGTGCTGCAAGGTTTCCTCTCCACAGTCATGAATATTAATCATCAGGGTGCATTACTATGGAAAACAATTCTGGAAATTTGAACCTTCCATTTGCAGGCTGCTGATGGCAGAAAGTGAAGAGGAACTAAAAAGCCTCTTGATGAAAGTGAGAGAGGAGAGTGAAAAAGTTGGCTTAAAGCTCAACATTCAGAAAACTAAGATCATGGCATATGGTCCCATCACTTCATGGGAAATAGATGGGGAAACAGTGGAAGCAGTGTCAGACTTTATTTTTTGGGGCTCCAAAATCACTGCAGATGATGATTGCAGCCATGAAATTAAAAGACGCTCACTCCTTGGGAGGAAAGTTATGACCAACCTAGATAGCACATTAAAAAGCAGAGACATTACTTTGCCAACAAAAGTCCATCTAGTCAAGGCTATGGTTTTTCCAGTGGTCATGTATGGATGTGAAAGTTGGACTATGAAGAAAGCTGAGCGCCGAAAAATTGATGCTTTTGAACTGTGGTGTTGGAGAAGACTCTTGAGAGTCCCTTGGACTGCAAGGAGATCCAACCAGTCCATTCTAAAGGAGATCAGTCCTGGGTGTTCATTGGAAGGACTGATGCTGAAGCTGAAACTCCAATACTTTGGCCACTTCATGTAAAGAGTTGACTCATTGGAAAAGACCCTGATGCTGGGAGGGACTGGGGGCAGGAGGAGAAGGGGACAACAGAGGATGAGATGGCTGGATGGCATCACCGACTCGATAGACATGAGGTTGAATAAACTCCGGGAGTTGGTGATGGACAGGGAGGCCTGGCGTGCTGCGGTCCATGGGGTCGCAAAGAGTCGGACATGACTGAGTGACTGAACTGGACTGAACTGAAGAACCCTAAGTATGAAAACTTTATTAAGGAATCTGTGTCCTTCCAATTATGACCTGCAAACTTACTGTGGGCCTGTGAGTGGATGAAGCTGCTTTATAGTAGAGAAAGTACCTTGTTAGGGGGAATGCCCCTTCATTTTTGTGATCACTTTCTGAACACAGAGTCAGCAAGGGCTCAGCAAGTGTCTACCAGCACCTTTTGCACCTTTTCGGCAACGTTCCACCCTCCCTTGCAAAGTGGATTCAATAGCACAGGGAGAGTGTCTATTTTCCTCCTCATAATATATTTTCCCGGTGCCAGCTACTTAGTAGGTGTTTTACCACAGGTGTGGAAGTAGTTTGTGAATAATTCTTGATTTCTATAAACCCACATAATGGGGACCGTCCTCCCTGACTGGGGATCGACATCTTCAGTACTGGCCACCACACCATTGCAGCCGGGAGAACTGTGCAAAAAGTGTTAAACAGGCAAAAACATGATGGTTGATGGAAAAAAATTTTTTTCCTTAGATCTCAATCAGGAAGCAATTCTCTACAAAAAGAAGGTACCCATCCCATTCACTGCAGGGAGGCAGGGAACGAGGGCAGAGCACCACACTCCTAGGTAAAAAGGGAGAGACAAAGAAAGCTAATTAAAATCGCACGCTCATTCAATCAGTCGTGTCTGGCTCTTTGCGACTCCATGGACAGCAGTCCACCAGGCTTCTCTGTTCATGGAATTTCCAGGCAAGAATACTGCAGTGGATAGCCATTTCCTTCACTAGGGGATCTTCTAGACCCAGGGGTCGAACCTGATTCTCCTGCCCTGGCCCGTGGCTTCTTTAACACTGAGTCACCTGGGAAGCTCAAATTAAAATTAAAAACCACGTTTTAGTGGTTTTTGCCATACATTGACATGAATCAGCCATGAATTTACATGTGTTTTAAATTTGAAGTTTTGTTTAAGTAGCAAAGGCTCAGAACAATTGGAGAGGTGCAAAGATAGGGGGCACCCTCCACTCACTTCAGAGGTACATTTGGCCGACTGTCTCAAGAGTCTTAGAAAGAAATGCTTATTCCCTTTGGCCCAGTAATTGCACTTCTGGGAATCCATTCTTAGGAAATAATCCTAAATATAGAAAAAGCTTCATGCATAAGAATCACGTATTTGTTATTTCATTTTTAAAGTTATAGTGTTATGTATAACAAAGACTGGATACAACTTAAATATCCAATAAGGGAAAATTAGGTATATTATGATATGTAGTATGAATATTATGCAGCCATTAAAATGTTTGTGTTGAAAGTTTCAGTAGTATGAGAAATGCTTATGTTTTGATTATGTTAAATGAAAAATGGCAAGGTACAGGATTTCACATGCATTATGAAATCAATTAGATATTTTAAATATATGGAAATAGGACCAGGAAGATATATTAGAAAATTATTAGTAATGATTTTCTTTGTAGGTGAAGTGGGGTTACGGAGAATTTTTCTTTTTCTTTTCTTCTATACTCCCTGTATTTTTATGTGTGTGTATGTGTGTGTGTGTGGTGTTGGTCGCTCAGTCATGTCAGACTCTTTGTGACCCCATGGACTATATATAGCCAGGCAGGCTCCTCTGTGCATGGAATTCTCCAGGCAAGAATATTGGAGTGAGTTGCCATTCCCTTCTCGAGGGGATCTTCCCGAGCTAGGGATTGAACCCAGGTCTCCTGAATTGAAGGCAGACTCTACTGTCTGCGCCACCAGGGAAGCCCTATATTTTTATAGTAGACATTATATTTTTCATATATTTATCCCTGGGGGAAGGGAGAAGTCCTTTAACTTTGTTTTACGATTCTTGTCTCTGGGGCATTCATTCTACACAATTTATTCAGATAGTTACGTTTGGGGGCCAGGGAAAGCACCGGTGGCCCAGGCAGAAGGAGAAGGGGCTGGAGGACCTGGGGGAGCTGTCTGGTTTCCTGCGACGTGTGCAGCTGTCACTCTGACTGCCGGGGTCTCAGTCCCACTCCCAGAAGCAGGCCGCGGCCTCGGCCACGGGCTCAGCAGCAGGTGAGTCGTGCTGCTCTCACCCAGGCTCAGCCCTCAGCTCCTGTAACCGGGTTTTCCATGGAACCTTCAAAGCAGCTGTCACACACCTCCACCCTCATCCCCTGCTTACCTGTATCCGAGTTCTTTCTGTCTCCTGTCTCTTTGTATTACACCCTCTGCCACCGTTCCAGCACCCCACTAGGTCTCCCGGGGGCCCCAGCTCTACCTCTGAACCCAGCCTGTCCTGGATGAAGCCTCCGAGATGAGCCTTCCAGGAAGCCAGATGACCACTTTCTTGTACCTGCTATTTGCCGCCAGATACTTCCTTCCTGTGTCCCACGCACCTGCTAAGATGGTGCGACTCCCTGGGGCTGCTCGCCCGCGTAGGTGTTTCTACTGCAGCCGAGGCCCTTCTGACCTCCCCCCGGCGCTGTGTTTCAGTCCCCTGAGGCCTGTCCCCGGGCCCGGGCCTCTGCTGACGAAGCTGTCGTTGCCATGACTGCAGCTCCTTCAGCCTTTCCTCCTCCGCAAAGCTTGCTGGGAGCCCACAGGAAAATGTGGCCAACTCGAGGGCCTGTCTTCCTGTTCTTTGAGGAAATTCACTCCGGGTGAGTGATTTGAGGAAATAAAATGGAGTACTTCCTATTCAAGTGATGGAGGCCTTGATTCTGCACTGTTCATATCTCTAATGAGACAGAAACTAGACTAGAGATCCCTACTTTTATTCAAGAGTCTAGGGAATTCCCTAATAGTCCAGAGGTTAGGACTTGACACTTTCACTGCAGGGGCTTGGGTTTGATCCCTGGTCAGGGAACTAAGATCCCCCAAGCTATGCCTTGTGACCAAGAAAAAAAAGTCTAATGAAGTTGGAAATTAATGAGTTATATGAATGTGTGTATATATATATATATATATATATATATATATAAAACTGGCACTATGCTAAGCACTGAACAAGGAGAATCAATCTAAAAATAATCCCACAGCAGTGGGCACTGTTGTGGTTCCATTTTACAGATAAGGACACTGAGGCTTACTTAGGTGAACTAACTTGGTTAAAGTCACAGACATAGTGACTGAAAGAGGTAGGATTTGAACCCAGGTCAGAGTTTGGTCATAAACATTACTCTGCTGGGTCCAAGCAGGTCATTGCAAAGAGTGGATGGGGTGGCCCCAGTGAGCACGACCACCTGAGCAGTGCATGTCCCTCAGTAGGGGAGAGTCACCGCAAAGCCCCTGGTGACCCAGTCCAGGCAAGAATGTGGGTCTAGTGTCGGCAGAGCTCCTGAGTTCCCAAGAGATGCTAACCAATCTGCACTGCTATGTGTAATCTCCCTGTTTCATATATGGGTTCCACGTTTTCGAAGACCCTGGCTAGCCCAAATTAATGCCCAGGCAGGCCACCAGCTTGCAGTCTCTCCACGAAGCCATACTGCGGGCGTTCCAGTGCTTCCTGTGACTCGCACGCTCCCCTTTGTAAAGGGCAGGGGCTACATACCTGCACAATCTCCAGCATCTCTGCCTTGCTGATGTAGCCATTTCCGTCTAGGTCATACATGCTGAAGGCCCACTTCAGCTTCTGCTCCAGCTTCCCCCTTGACGTTACGCTCAGGGCTATGATGAATTCTCTAAAGTCTATCGTCCCATCTCCGTTGGCATCAAAGGTGCGGAAGACGTGCTCTGCAAACTTGGAGGCATCCCCGTAAGGGAAAAAGTTCCCGTAAATTTTCTTAAACTCCTCCATTGACAAGTGTCCGCTGGGGCAGTCTCTCAAGAAGCCTTTGTACCATTCCTGGATCTCGTGCTCCGTGAAGTCCGTGCTTTCCAGCAAGTCTTGCATGACCTCTGGGCGCAGCTTGCTGTTCTGTTTTCCCATCTTGACAGCAAGAATTCAGCTGCAGACAGAAAAGAATACAATATAGGGAGTTTCTTAACCTGTTCTTCAGAGGCACATTTTACAATCTGTGATTATTCCTTTGGAAAAAAGAAAAGAAAGTGTGACTTCAATAACATTGTCTAGGGCTTTCCAACCTTGTGCTCAGCCCAACAAAATGTAGAAAGAGGGGCAGGCAGAAGATGCAGAGCAGAAATATCACTGAAAACTGATACTTCTCTGACGCCGAGCCAAATGAAAGACAGGAGATTTATAATGAAAAAGAAAAACAGATACACACATACGCACACACAGAAATGATTACTTAGCCCTGCCTTATCTATTTGCAAGAGGCTGAGCCTGGTTTTAGAAAGACCGGGGTTCTAACACCCAATCCAAGTGTTAGTAGGGAGAATTAAAGGAAAGGATCAAAAAGAGAGAGCAAAAGAGGTAATGTCACATGCTTTAGAGTATTTGCAAATAAAATGCTTGGGTATCTTCTGAATATTATAAAGACAGACATGAGTAAGGGAAGTAGAAACTCATGTAATTCCATTAAATGCTACCAAGCTTGGTCAGTTATTTAAAGCCAAAATGTCAAATCACTGTCAACATTGTGTTTAGATGGTAAAGATGATGTTTCACAAAGTTATGTCCTATGATTGTGGCTTATGAAACTGGCCAAATTTTCCTTTTTAAGATACAAAAAACTTAATATTTTCTTATCATGGTAATAGCACATCCATAGTAAAATAGCAAACAACACAGCAATACATATAGGAAAGTCAGCATCATTTCAAATCTTAACACTTAAACACTGCCCACAAAAAGGTGTGTGTCCTTCTAGATTTTTCATATGCACCCTTATCTAAAATGCTATTAATATATGTTTTAACATGTTTACATTTCAAGAAACAAGAAAATATACCCTTTGTTACTTATTTTAAAACTTAATATAATGTGGGGAATAAAGGCAACTTTTATTAAGATAGAAAAAAACTTGTAATTACCACCTTCCCATTCACAGAGCCAGTCAACATTAACCACGTGCCATATATCAGGCATGTTTCTGGCACTGTGGATGCAAAAAGTAAGATGCGACCCCTCCTCCTTAAGGGACACCCAGTTGCCTATATATTGGGGGGGGTGGCAGTGAGAGGAAAACACAATAAACATTCAAAAGGTGGTATCAGGGGAACGGATATGGTGTAGTGAAAGTACATGGACAGGACACCCAAGCCAAAAGGGGACCTGGGTGCTATCAGGGAAGCCTTCTTGGAGGAGGTGAGCTTAGTTCCCATGTCCAAAGTCTTATGATATAAGCATGGTAAAGATAACTACCTTCTCATAAAGGGGCTCTACAACTTGTATTTTACATTTTTCTTGTATTGGAAACTTACAGAATATATACAAGATTTTAACCCCCATTTTAATAACAGTTCCCAATTTCTTTGAGATTTTCACTTGTGGTGCTTGTTTATGTCTGCCTCCCTCCCAGTGCAGGGTGAGCCCCATGAAATGGAATCTTGTTGAGGTTACTCTGTCTCGCTAGGGCCCACCACATATAACTTAGGTGAATGAAGAAATGACTCAGATAAATAATTACAACATGGAAATATGGAATAATTTTCTTGGAAAAGGAGTCTTTTTGCCCCAAAGATGAGGCCCTGGCTTTCAGAACATTATTTGAGACACTAAAGCTATTTGGTAGTTAAGACCCGGTCTTGGGATCTCTTTTCTCCACTTTGCCACTAGTTTTACTGAGATATAATTGACATAGAGCATTGCATAAGTTTAAGGTGTATGACATAAGACCTGATATATGTTTATACTGGGAAATGCTCACCCCAGTAAGTCGAATTAATACCCATAACCTCAGGTGGTTACAGAAATTTTTCTTCTGTTGAGAACTTTTAAGATATACACTCTTAGCATCTTTCAAATATACAATACAGTACTGTTAATGATGCTGGTGCTGAAGCTGAAACTCCAATACTTTGGCCACCTGATGCGAAGAACTGACTCATTGGAAAAGACCCTGATGCTGGGAAAGATTGAAGGCAGGAGGAGAAGGGGAAGACAGAGGATGAGATGGTTGAATAGCATCACCGACTCAATGGACATGAGTTTGAGCTAACTCCAGGAGATAGTGAAAAACAAGGAAGCCTGGCATGCTGCAGTCCGTGGGGTTGCAAAGAGTTGGACACGACTTAGTGACTGAACAACAACAAATTGTTAACTATAGTTACCATGCTGTACGATGCATGCCCAGAACTTATCTGAAGCTTCTACTTGTTGACCACCTTCACTGAACTCCCCCTCCTCCCACCCTTGGGATCTGTTAAAACTGAATTGCCTGTGTACCTATGTGTTGCCACCACTATAAATAAATTCCTTGAAGGCAGGGTTTGAATCTTACACTGCTCAAACTTCTTTCATTATATGCACAGTTCAGGAAATGACACGCAATCCTTGTGAATTGCCGAGCTGGTTGATTTTGCTCCCTGAGTTCTGCACAGAGCAGAATCAGCCCCACTCTATCTCTGAGGTAGGCGCCCCGGGAAGGGTGGAACAACAATTCTCTTCCCATCAGCACGACCAACAGCTGCCTGAAGGAGCTCACTTTCAGAGGTGACGCTCTACAGAGAATCAGACCAACACCATTTTACATAAGAGCAAAACTAAACTACAGAATCAGACCAATACCATTTTACGTAAGAGCAAAATTAAACCACAGCTCCAAGCACGACACAAACAGAATTTATAAACTGAACCTTTCAATAACTTTCACTTCCCTCTTGTGTCTTTTTTTTTTTTTCCCTTGAGAAAAAAGTGAAGTAGGAGAAACTGGTTTGTATTAGAATTTCAAAACTGCATTTAGTTGCTAAGTTGGCAGTTTGCCAGAGGCAAGAATTCAGAAGTACAAGGTAATACATAACACATGGATTTACAGAGTTCCCAAACATTTTATGGGATTTACAAGTAATGTTGAGTTTTCCTTTGGGGGAGTGCTTTAGAAAAGAGGCCTTTGGTGTGGTGGTCAGTCAAATCACTGTGAGAATCCTTTGGTTCTGTGCAAATCACTGAGTGCAAGGCCTTGGGGAAAAAAATGCCACTTTGATATTAAAATCTGCTCTCTTAAAGAATGATTTATTTCCCAGGATGTAGAAAGCACTGTTTCTTCAAAACCGAACTTGAGTTCCTTTCCCAATGTTTAAAAAGTGTGTCTCATTTATTAGCTGTTTTTGCACTAGAAACAAATTGCTTCAACATTTTGGCTAAGGCTCCCACTGAGACTGATCTGTGTGCAGCTATTTTTCCCGTAAACAGTAATTAAACTGCATTTACAAATTCATTAGCACAGAAAGGCCATAACACAAACAAGGCAGAAGAGCATGGAATAAGTTATCTGGGAAGCGGGTGTTTGCAATTTAGGCCAGAATTTGTTTCAGTAGATAACTACAAACACTTTACTAACTATGATGTCTGAACTTGAGAAAATCATCTGGACATGGTTAAGCTGTACAACAAAAATCTCCGGGGATGTATGATACCGTTTCTTCCTTTAAGGGAGAGACGGAAAGATAGAAAATGCCTGACAATACCTTTTTCTCTTGGAAGACAGCAATTTTGTTGGAGTTGAAGGATCGGGGAGGGGACCTTAAGGGAAATGCTACATTAATTAGCAGTCTAAAGAAAACAAATCATCCGGAGACAAGAAGTTGCTCCTCAGGTCAAATCCTTTTAATTGCTCCATTCAGTCATTAAAATGTTTATTTTGTGCCAGTAGAACAGGGCATGGAATAAAAATGCTTGGGCTCAAAGACTGGCTCTATTGTTGACCGGCTCTTGGGTAATTCACTTCAATTCTTACCGCACTTAAGTTTTCTCATCTGTGAAATGAGGTCAGTTGTCTGAGTTCATATCTCACTGATTCGATGTGAGAATTAAATGAGACAGTCATATATGTAAACATCTGGCGTTGAGTCAGGGACAGATGCTCTGGTCAGTGAAAACTACATCTTACTCCTTTTTTTTTTTAACGAGTGAATTTTAATATTAAAGGTAAAGTGGTGTGAAACTAGAATTTGGTTTTTTTCTCTGTTAAGAGGACAATATTTTTATTTTATTTTATTGCTAAACTTTGTATTTTGTATTGTGGTATAGTTGATTAACAGTGCTGTGATAGTTTCAGGGGGCCAGCAAAGGAGCTCAGCTATACATATGCTGTATTCCATCCTTGATGGCACCTCATATATTATTCTACTGAGCCTTCTCAGCAACTCTGAGGGATAGGCAGGGCAGCTCTCACCATTTTATAAGAGAGAGAAAGAAAGAAGAAAAGGAAGAAAGAAAACTCAGAGAGGCAAAGTGACTTGCCCTGAGTCCCACAGCTTGTGAGTGAGGGAGCCAGATAGGAAGCTGAATTTGCATGTGACTGTCAACTGTCTTGTTTTTTTTAATTGTGTCTGACTAGCTTCAGAGACAAGTAAATATAGAAATTAAGACAAAAGCTTTATAAAATGCCAGAAAGCAGTAGTAAAGAGGGAAGAAAGTGTTAGTTGCTCAGTCGTGTCCGTCTCTTTGTGACCCCATGGACTGTAAAGCCTGCCAGGCTCCTCTGTCCCTGGGATTCTCCAGGCAAGAATACTGGAATAGGGAGCCATTCCCTTCTCCAGGAGATCTTCCTGACCCAGGGATTGAACCAGGGTCTGCTGCATTGCAGGCAGATTCTTTATGGTCTGAGAGAACCTGCATGCCAATGCAGGAGACATAAGAGACGTGAGTTTGATCCCCGGGTTAGGAAGATCCCCTGGCATCTTCCCAAGTGTGTATGGTAACACACTCCAGTATCCTTGCCTGGAGAATCCCATGGACAGAGAAGCCTGGCGGGCTACAGTCCATGGGGTTGCAAAGAGTCGGACATGACTGAAGCTGTTTAGCACACACGCCACCAGGGAAGCCCAAGAGGAAAGAGATGACTTACTGTTAGAACACATCCA